AGTAGTAGCAGTAGTAGTAGTACTGTAGTCGTAGTAGTCGTCGTCGTCGTAGTAGTAGTAGTAAGTAGGAGGAGCAGCAGCAGCCGGCGGTGCTTGGTAGCAGTGGTCGTCGGTGTGATACTAGTGTTGCGGAATTGACGGAGTTGACAAGAAAGATATCAGATGCCCGTCCCCTCAGTTGGTTGCGTCGACTCTCGCTCGGCACATTCAGGCCAGAAAAGTTTTCCTGTCTGCTGTAGAAGATGTTGTTGTACTCTGGAATTTTGGGAGGTGGGCAGTTTTAGATTTTAGTCAGGACCGTAGACTTCTCTTGTGGTAAGGACTTGTTTCCGGGAGCATGCGGCACCTGGAACTGCGACCTCAGCTGCAGCTCCTTATTTTAGCTTAGGACCTCTACGTTAACTTAGCTTCCGCATGGACTTCTAAAGCAGGGCGGCCCTGGCTTTTGTTTTCCTGTACAGGCAGTTCTGTCTGTGGGGCCGAACCTGAAGGTGGAAAATGGAGGGATAACACCACTCCTCCAAGCTCCGAGCGAACGGTTCTGCAAGGAAGCATGCCATGTGAAGGCAAAAGGAACATTCTGCATAATACCTGTCGTCTTGTAAGGCCTCCTGGTTTGATAGCACTAGTGGTCGGTTACACCTCGCCCTCGCTGGTGTGCGTGCCACATTGGTTGCCTGGCATCCCCAGGAACCAGTCACCTGCGAAGCTTTGTGAACCTAAAAAGCCACCATCAGCAGTGAAAAGTGGCCTGAGCAAAAAGCATTTAGAGGTCTTGCTCAAGGCCCAAATCTGTGCAGATCGGGTGCTGACAGCTCCAGCGCTACATTCTGGGCACACTTACGATATAACGGGCCCGTGACTCTGCACGGATGTATTGAGCCCTGTGGACCGGGTACAACAGCTGGCAGCACGACTCGTCCGCATCTCGTGCGATTTTCTGTGGGGGAGGTGCAGTCATGCACACTTCGAAGCCCGACCCTGTACAAAACTAACCCACATCAAACGGTCTCCTTCGAGACGTGCAGGAATTGTGGCTGTCAGCCCTCACCATTCATGGGAGTTCCGCTGAGGCCGTCCAAGGCAAAGAGCTTTCTTTGCATAGCGATCATAGCGCGGCTGCAAGTAGTGTTCCGGAAATGGATCCTTGCTTCAGAGTATCTTCGGAATCGACAACATGGTGGCATGTCGCGGGTCAGCTTTCGTTTCCATACTCCCCTAGAGTCCGTCACATTACTGTCTAGCACCAAGTGCAGTGAAGGAGCCTACCTGCAGTGATAGCCATGTGATCTCGGTCGTGACCGGGCATGGTGCATAGATGCTGTGGCCGCAAGCAGCTTGTGAGCTGTGGTCGTTCCGCATCAGGAGGGAGTTGCTCCACAACGTAATGCCTGCATATTTGCACATACCTCTATAGCCTCTAGCCTACCACAATTGCAGAAACGTGCTGATGCCCTCGGGCACTGGCCTCCTGCGATCGGCAGCCCAGTCACTAGGGCTTCAGAGAAAGGCATTTCTGGCACCCAGTGCCATACGCAGGGAAGAACTATCAAGAGGCCCAGAGCAAGAAGGCTCCTTAAGTTGAGGTACAAGCAGTGCACTGTTGCACCCAGTTCTGCTCCACCACTCTCGCCACAACATTCAAGTGCGCAAGGGTCCATGCTGCACCCCCAGCACTCTACGCTGCTGCTGACAAGGATCAAGCTTTCCAGAACCAGCATCGGTGCCCCGGGCGCATGGGACACCTTTCGATGCCAGCAGCATCGATGGGAACACGAAAGATGCTGATTTTCGCGGTCTTGATTGTTTAGTACTCTATGTCAGTACTCGCACCCGCCCTCGTATGACTACGGCTACTATGAACCGCTATTGCTTGTGCTGCTGCTTTGGCGACTACTGCCAGCACTGAGGCACGCGGCCGTTGCTATAGCTCTATACGGCGATAAGTGCATGATGCTTATCAGCTTCGCCAGGAGCAGCCTTCAAAGCCAAGAACCGACCCAGTGTTGCAGCAATGTTGGCAACGGAAATCATCCGCTGTGGCAGGATTTCTGCGCAACCGGCTTCTTGACAAAGTCCCTCCGCGATAAAGGGTGAAGCACACCTTGATGCCAAAGCCACCAAACATCACACAATACGGCTGTTAATAGTGTTGGTGATTTCGTTTAGTTCTAGCAAACCCCGGAACAACAGCATTTGGGACATGCTTGATAGTATTGCCAAGCAACAGCAGAAAGACCCAAGCGCAACAGGCCAGAAGTGCCACGCACGAGTTACAAAAGAGCACGTGCATTCTTTCCCAGAAGTACTCTTCCCGATATCCACCTGCCAAGATCCATCATTCGGGGGCGGACCCCAAATGAAACAATTCCCATACATCCGATACCAGAGGGCTGGGTGAGACCAGCGCATGACAAAACAACCAATTATGATGAACTGCGAGCTAAGCACTCAAGGATTATGTGCCAACGACAACATTAGGAAGATTAACGATGGCTGCAGTCACAAAAAAAGTCGTAGCATCAGTTCGCGACTTGCGGCGTGGTCAACTGAAGAACAGGCTTCGTCGCTCTAGAGCGTTGTCGTCAGGCGCATTGACAGCAGTTGCCGTCATGGTGGAACGACTGGAAACAGAGAAATACCAGGGAGCAGGACCAGTCTCGACATCATCGGCAGCAATACAGTCAAACATCTTGATCGTCACTTGCCGTCTTCATTGGAATCGCCAACGTTTCCAAGCAAGGTCAGCAGCATAATCTTTTCGACACCACGATCTACATGCCACCACCACAGCCACAGCAAACAACATGCTCACAGTCGCCATACTCTACGAGTAACTAGCAGTCATTCTGCCCACGGAGCAACAACATTTTGCAATGGCATCTTTGAAAGACAGTTGGGCTTCATGGACGACTACTTGACGGCTGCTGCAACTGAACATCGCCCGCCAAGGCCTGTTTCGAGAGCATCAGCAATGGTGCCATGCTCGGGGTTTGACAGGGCATCGGAGCGCCACGCAAAAGCAACGCCGACTATGGCAATGCAGACCTTGCCAGGCGGTGTAGAATCGATCTGAATCACCGGAAGCAGTGCAGTAGTAGTAGCAGGATGTTCAAACGAAGCCGCATTCCAAAGAAGGACAGCGGTGCGCTCCTCACAGAATTGTAAACGTGTCTCCTACAAGTTACCTCCAGGCGAAAGGTGAAAGCGATGTAGCCGGCATCTCTTCTGCCTGTGCCTCTACACATTGCTGAGGCTGCTGCGAAAATCTCTGCTGTCACGATGGTATAGAAAGAGGCCTCCGGTTGTCTATCACAGGTGGCAAGTACAGCCCGAGTTTTTTGCAGCTGCTGCGTTTCCTCGTGGACATCAGCGACCCCGCCCTTGGACATGAGGGTCTCGGCCATGATGGCGATGCTCACGGCCTCAACGACTCAGGAACCGTTACCAGGTTACGTTACACTGAGAGATCTAGGCAGCACCTCGTTCATGGCCCAATTCCTACATTTCGAATTCTTGCTAAAAGGGAGATGGGCTCGCTCTCTTTCTTTCTTTCTTTGCCAGCCTCTCTCTCTCTCTTTCTTTCGCCAGGGCTGTGGGCCAGGGGTTTCCCCCTGGCCTCTCTCTCTCTCGCTCTCTCTCTCTCTCTTTCTTTTTCTTTCGCCAGGGCTATGGGCAAGAGGAAGTTCCTCCTGCCAGCACGCGTCAGCGCCCCCGACTGTTGCGGAGTGGCTCCAGGAAAACAGCAAAGCCACCAAGGCAACTACGCCTGTTGAGATTGCTCCATCTCTCTCTCTCTCTCTCTCTCTCTCTCTCTCTCGTAATGGATGCTGGATGCTGGAGACTAGATCTTGGGCATTAGATATTTACATAGTAGAGTAGATATTGAGCCTTAGGTAGTAGATGTGAAGTACTAGAAATTATACAGTAAATTGTTAACATTAGATAATTTAATGCATAACCGAAACTGAGCATAGAATGACAACGGTCGATACGAACTACGAAAATCTACGAAAGACCATCAAGCCAAACAAGCATTGAAACAGACAAAAGCAAAGAACATGCGGCAATTAAGGGCAGAACAGCATAAGAGCAGTGGTGCTCCCAACAGTCACGTTCGGAATACTAGCATGCAACAAGCACATCAACGTCATTGTCCTCGGCATCATCGCCATCATTCTCATCTGTGTGGGGGGGGGGGGGATTGCGCGATTGTGCGCGAGAGTTCCAAAAGAACGTCGACAGATACGAGGATGATGATGCGGACGAGCACCATCCCTGCAACAGCTTGCTCGGATGAGAGGCCTGGCTTGGCTGCTGTGAAAATTGGAGGGAGGGGGCATACCATTGGGGGGAGGGGGGGGGGCACTGGCGCGGCGACGCGGGACCATACATGCATGTACATGTGCATATATTTACACACGTAGTGAACATGACAACTATCATAACACAAAGCCGGACGAAGCCAAGGAGCCAAAAGCGGGCTAAGTGATTCTCCAAAGAGCAAGGCCGAAGAAGCGCCTGTTTCAAGGGTTTGTAAGCTCTGATGGGTTTGCGGGTACAGAGAGCCGCTTCTGCTCTCGTTTGGCATTTGAGCGGTTTTTGGCCGAGGATCTTGCGGCATAGGTGTAGAGATCTATAAGAGGTCTTGGGTTGACGATTTTCAGCCCTACAGGCGGTAGTGACCTAGGCTCCGAGGACATCGCACAAGGGGTAGAATCGGATAGAACTTGCTTACAAAGCGATCTCATCCCGGAAGTTCTCCCCTTTTCAAGACAGCCTGCCTCCGAAAGTGTCCCTGAGCCGCAAGGTAACAGCTCCAGCAAGCAAGCAAACCAAAATATGCACACCGAAAAACACGATCCTGTGCTTGAAGATAACAAGGGACCGAAATTGTAACTATACCTCCCAAACCAAAATCCGAAAGCCGACGCCCGAGACCTGGAACCAGCCTCGAAGGAAAAAGGCCTCAACAAGAAAAGTGTATATGACTTTTCGACGTATGAAATGGGGACTCTCAAAATCCTCATAGGACCTTTAACGTTACCGTTTACGAGGAGCTGTGAAGGAACACCAGGAAGGGCTTGAGGCTGTGCCTCCCATGAAGCTCTACGTTTCTGTCTGTCTGCAGAGGGGCCCCGGATGATCTCCAAACAAAGCTGCAGGCGCCTGGGACACTTGTGGACAGCGAGGCGGCCACATTTTGGACCAGTCCTGCCGGGCCGACCCCAACAGTTGTAAACGATAGCAGTAGCAAAAAATAATAACAACTTAGTGGTGATAGTAATAGTAATGATAGTAATATGAATAATACCAAACCCTTCATGCTGCAGGACAGGAGGCTTCATTGTCACGACGGCTAGACTATGAGAAGAAAGAACAAGCACTTGGTGGCAAGCCTGAAATGCCACCATCCGCTACACAGTGAGCTTCTTGTCTCAGGTCGCATGAAAAGTCGGGCACTCCTGTGTGAGAGGTGTGCCGAGCCCTCCTAGTTGAGTCATTCAGTCCCAGTAGCCCCCCATTGCTCCCTGTTCTTCACACACGGCTGAGAAACAGTGGGAGATCCGGGGGATTCTAGCCGTCTAGCTCTGTCAGATGTCCATGGTGTCCGGCTTCATGCCATGTATGCCTTTGGAGTTCTTGTGTCAGCACCTGGTGGGGAGCCCAGAATTAAAGCATGTGTTAAGGGGCGTGTGTGTCCCCTCAGCGAACCATATTGAACCACACTGAGCCCTGAGCGACTAGCCCCCCCTTCCCATCCCGAAAGCTCTCAAGGCGCACCTGTGCAAAGGCCGTTGATCGCCACGAGGATCCTTGGCTGCTACGTTTTTTTGGCTCCCACGTGGCAGCGTCTGGCGACTCCGTAAATGCAGGTAAGGGATTGACATTTTTTCCGAAAAAAGGTCTAGTATACAAGGTTACTACCAGGGTTCTTAGACTCAAGCTTTTCGAATCGGTTCATGACGCAGGTGAGCGATTTAAGATGCACCCTGTCTCCCTAGCAAGACACAAATAACTTCTACAGCTTGTCGCAAGTCCTTATATGTGAGATGTCCTTTGGCAAGGATGCATCTCAAACTACCGGCGGCATCTTTAACCACCGACCACTGTAAATCGCGAACCCCGCCGCCAATAGAGGTCCTGACGCTCATGTGGTCGAGACTTAGGTCCCTCATTTCCTGAAGCTCGCTCTGCTTGCACGGTAGGTCTTTGCTAACGGTATGGAAAAAACTGCGAGACGTCCCAAACTCCTTGCTGTCGTCATGGGCATGGTGTGTAGAAACAGCTTCACGGATGGGATCCGATGAGACGCCCTCCGTGGCGCCAAGCACCACAAAATGAAGAAGCCGAAAACAGAGCCATCCTACTGGCTTCGACTCGATGTATCACATACCCCCACTCAAAAACCATCCTGAACCCCTAAGAAACCTCGAAGCCTAGGAGAAACAAACACTTTTCAGCACGGCCTCGGGGAGGCACGCCGGCGACAAGAAACCCTAAACTCTAAGCCTCAAGCCCTAAACTCTAAACGCCTGTAAACCCTAAACTTCCTAAACCCATAATAAACCCCTTTCAGCCCTTCTTGAACCCCCCTTTAAAAAACCCCCTGAATCCTGAATAAAAGCCGGTCTTAAAAGGCAGCCCAGAACCCCCTCAAAAACCCTATCCTGAATCCAAGCCCGCCTTAAAGGCAGCCCAGAGCTCAGGAAGAGCTCCTCAGCCGGCTCGCCCGCCCGCAGCATCCGCGCCAGGACCAGGCCGAGGAGGAGCCTTTTGGCGGTCAGCAGACCCCAGAATCCCCTAGAAAACCCCTAGAAACCCCTAGAAACCCCTAAAACCCTCAAAACAAAACCCTAAACCCTTAAAACTCTAAAACACTCCTAAAGCCCTAAAGGACTTAGAACGGTGCACCATAATTGGGTTTAGACTCTCGCAACTGGGGCAATGCGGGCGAGGATGGTCCATAGTTCGCAGGGAAGGCACCTGTGGCCTTGTGGGCCTTCTTGAATAGGAGTTAGGACTGGGGGTACCCTTGGGGATATAGACCCTCTCAATAAGGTCCCTTTTAAGAGAGCCATTAGTAGGGTTAAGAAGGGTCCCCGTTAAGGGGCCTCCTTAATACTACCTAGGATTAAAGCGCGCCCCTCCCTCGCAATGCGAAGCAACGATGAACTGCGGTGTAAAGCTTATAGGCCTACAGATTTGCGGAGACAGTGACGGGCAAACTCATCTCGAGTGGTCGACTACTTACCAAGGCTGAAGCACGGGGTAAAAGCTCCGGGGGCCTGGCAAGCAGTCATGGTGAAACAGATTTGCCATAGTTGCTAGTGACGGAGGGGGAGGCCTTTCTCCACTCGTGAGTGTGAATGGCACGACGGTTTTTAAGCCTACATCCCTAGGGCAGCAGGCTAGGTCTCGACTTTGATAAGTGAAAGGACTGGCATAAATAGACCGGGCGAGGGTAGCAGGGTGTTAGGTCTCCTACGCAGGGCCCAAGCACTGTCGGAAGCAAGGTAGGTGATGTAGGAGTGTAGTACATAGTGCAATCAACGAAGGGAACATTGAAAATTGCACACAGCTTGGCTTGGGCCTCATTACAGCTACCACTCAAGGCTGTCTTTGCAGGGTGGCTTTGGGCACCGAACACCAGTTCGTAGGTTGCGTCCCATTGGCTGTTCCACCCGTTTTTTGTTTGATTGCTCATATAGGCTCAGGCAGTACTGCAGCTTTGCATTCAGGTCCAGGACGGTTTCGACTCACACCCTCGCACCAGGCAGGTTTCGACTCTCACTCTCGCACTAGGCAGGCAAGGATGTACTTTAAGCCAGGTTTAGCTAGGGCCAGCATTTAGCCGTCTACGGAAAGGGTTCGACTCGTGCTCAGCATGCAGGGCAAAGTTTGCACTTAGGCAAAAAACCATCTCCGACAGCTAAGGCTTCGGGCTGAACGTGGTCTTCCCGTTCCGAGAACTCCATGCGCCAGCGCGCTCAAACCACAGAGAGGCCGTGCGTTGGAAATAAGCTCCAAAAAATCGATACTATGACTAGGATCGTATCATTAAATGACATAGAATATTACCATGAAATGACATGGAATATTACTATAAGTCTGTATTTAGGGTTTTAGCTGATACTCTGGGAGGCTCCTGAACCTTCGAACCCAGAGACTTAGCCAAAGCGGGCTGCTGGCCTTGCTCTCAGACGGCTGCCGTCTCGTAAGGTGCTTGTACCATTGGAACGAGCAGCTAAAACCCTTTTTTCTTTGGGGGGGGGGGGGGGGNNGGGGTTTCGGATTTAGGGCTTTAACCTCATATCGAGGGAGGCTTCGACATAACTCTGATGCACAGAGCAGCTGAAGGCAGGCGACTGGGGTGTAGAGCTCCAACTTACATCTTGCACGAGAAGGCTTTCCAGGCCACCAAGTGGCATCACCAGGTAGCTGCAGGCGCACAGAATCAGCCGCTGGCAAGCGCTGAGATTCCAGCGCAGTAGCCTGCCGAGGCTGTCTTTAAACTTCAATGGTGCTGGCATGAGAGGTATTTCGGGCTCGCCTTCGCAAGCACATCAACGACAACAGCAACAAGACCATCTACCCGCTGTATCTCTGGACTCCGGACTTAGCCTTGGCCCAAACGTCAGGAAGAGCATTGCCACCGCACAGCAACAGTTTTGCGAGGTCGCTGCTTTCGCAAGCGCTGGCTTGCCGAAGAGCCTTTCAGCGAGATGTGACCGCATTGACTGCTACATGGCTCAACTTTCCTCCCTTGGGGGCCTTACCGTGGCCTGCATGATCAGGCCCCGCCGATAGATTGACTTCTTTGATCGAAGCCGCAACGATAACTACTCCCTGCGATGCGAGATTCTTCGGGTCAACGCGAACCGGCCAGCTTCGTAGGCATGGCACGGTTACATGAACTCATCAATGCCTATCCTGCGTTTGCCGATTCAAAATCGCGAACCCTGCGCCGTTCTCCCGAAGCTCCAAGCAGTCTTCTGTTATGGCTCTGACTCAAACTGCATCCAGGAAGCTGCGTAAGCACGGCAACACACAGCATCAGCCTTGCATCGAGCAGACGACTAGGAAAGCGTGGCGACGATTGGGCAAAGGTGGCATTTCTCGTGTGTTAGCGTGATGCTGGCGTTCCTGCCGCGCTTGCTCTGCGTTGATGTTTGGAATTCATGTCCAAGCTTCCGAGTTACAGATTTATTCTGCATCCCAAGTCTCTCACGAACCTCGCCAGTACAGTGCAGGCCAAAGTCCCTGAATGCAACACAGAAAAGTGCGAGGTTGGACTTTTTGCATCTTTTTGCTTCCAAATCGCGCCTCCCTGCTGGACATCTCCACAGGCAACAAGACCCACCTTCTCCTCAGCACTTCTGATACTTGTGAGGCTTTTCATGATAAGCCTCATCTGGCTTTCTCTTTGGTGCCCAATTCGGATATGGGCCACCAGGTGCCGCAACTTCCTTCAAACTTGGATCCGGATGATCAAAGCCTGGGTCTGAATCCATGTCATCGCCGTCATCGATCTCTTCGAGGTCCTCCGTCGTGCACGGGCAAGAACCACCGACTTCAATGACTTCAATTTCTGCCGTCGGACAATGAGACCGTGGCTCCTCAGAAGCCGCGCCAAGCAGGCCTTCGGGTGCCTCCTGGCATGCGAAAAGCGAAGTGTCTGCCTTGGCCTTTGCTTCCACCTCGTCGCCACCCCAGTCGACATCCTCTTCTCCTGTAACCACACCGCACCCAAAGCCGTCTGTGGCAGCAGAAGGTCCACCGGCAGCTCCTGTCAGCCCCACTTCGATGGCGGCTGACTTGGTGCTGTACTCTCGGAGGGGAAGGGCCGCCGATCCTCTTCCGGAAGACGAAGGCACAGCATCAGTTTTCAGGCTCTGAAGCGCGAAAGAACGCGCAACTCGCACAGCGCGGGTTCGATAATACATCCAGTCGTCTTCCAGGCATTCCCATGGCAGCCACACCAGCCACTCCCACGCGTGGCAAGCCGTCGAGCAGACCCACACCTCTGCTGTTTGCTCAGATGGATTATCCCGAAGAACCTTGCCCCACTGCTCGCAAACAAACAGCAGGCTGTCGTCCCAGTCGAGGGCCGTGTGTGCCTCGACCGCAGGACGCAGGACATCTGCAGCCATCACGCGAACAACTCGCGCGAGGCGCTCAAACTCTTCAACTTCCACTGCCACCGTCTCACAGAGCTTGGGATCATGCACCGAATTCACAAACTCAAGCCACTCTTTGAACCATTGGATTCGCTCTAGGCACCCTGCAGTAAGTGTGCTTGGGGGGCCAGGGGCAAACTGCATCAGCTCGTGGTGTAAATCTGCGAGTAGGACTCGGGTTGCTGTGCTCGAGGATCTTCTGCGTCGTCCGAGCATCGTTGTCAAAGAATCGTTCCTAGTGCCTTTGGTCTTCACTTTCTCTGCCTCCTGCTCCGAGTGGTGTTGCCTGGCACTTTCGATTATCTGTACCAACTGCTGCGAGGCCATGGTGTATCTCTGTTCTAGTGCCGCCTCCAGGGTCATGCCTGCTCGCACTGCCATCTCAGCATAAGCCTCCCTGAAAGCAGCATGGGTCGGCATACTGAATGGCCCCGGCCACAGCTCCTTCCGTGCGACCTGTTCTCCTGGCCGAAATAGAACTATCATGCAGGAGAGGTTGTCCCTCGAGCCACGCTTGAGTGCTTCGTGGCACACAGCTGCAGCTGCCACCGCTGGATCTTTGGACAACAGCTCATCCGCTGCTAATCGCACCACATCTCTGTTTGGAAAGTTTCCTTCGGAGATGCCGTCGCACACCAGCAGCAGAAAGTCAGAACGGGCACATGTCGCAGTCGTGAAGTCTGGCTCAGGCGATATGGGATGGTCCTCCTGCCTGGGGCCACCCGTGTGCTTGTGCAAAGCATCGCCAAAGGCTCGGCTGACTGAGAGATCACCATTTACACGGGCGATACCCTTCCTGGTCACGACTGTTCCGCCGGTCCGTCGTATCCTTTCCTCTTCCAGCTTGTTATCGGGCTTATGATCCGTGGTGAGTCCACCGTCTGTGCCTGGACCTTCAACCATCGAACCATCTGCCCGCCCCAGCAAAACTCGACTGTCTCCGATGTTGCCAACCCGAAGTGTGATGTCTTCGGCAGATGGCACCACCAGCGCGAAGGTGCCGGTTGAGCCGCTGGGTTGCTTCGTGTCCAGGAACTCTTGGTCTATTCTCAACATCAGCGACTTGACCGCCGCATCATCGGCGAGGAGCGGTTGCGACCTGAGCTCCTGGTGTAGTCGCTTTGCTACGAAGGACGAGCACTCCGAGCCACCATGTCCATCGAACACGCCAAAGAAACCCCAGGAGTCCTGCATCACTGACACATGTGCATCCTCCATTGTGGGCCTCCAGCCGTTCATCTCAGCGACACCGACCTCGAACAAAGGCCCGGCATCTCTGTCTAAAGCTATGGAGGTCACGGCCCTTGGCAGTCCACGTCGTCCCATGATAGCAAGGACTGCCAGCCCCACAGAGAGTTTCTACGAAGAGCTGGACAACTGGTGGCTACCTACTGTGAAGTGTTCGAGCCACATGCAACCTTGAGGCAAAACCATTCTCTCAAGGAGTTCTAAAACGAGCACAGAACTGTATATAACAGACCATGCTCCGATTTCCGCACTGACAACTGTCCCAGTCAATCCCAGCTGCTGGTTCCATAGGATGGAGCTTGCCAGGCCGATGACTGCGAAGGCGGCCCTGCAAAAAATCGAAGGGTTTGTGCCCCGGTGGCTGGGGTCTTGCAGATCTCATGAGAACTTAACAGTACCTGCAATGCAAAGCCCGTAACACTGCTGAGAACTTAAAGGAAAGCTCGTCAATGGCAACAACCCATGGCCGCCAGGCTCCCGACCTTTGAGCGAATTGAAACATGCTAGGATACCCTAACTAACCTCCCAGGTACCTACTATATAGGGTATTAGAGCCCCTAGGGCCCTAAATAGTAGGTACCTGGAGGGTTAGGGATAAGCACCTGGTGTACAATTGCGAAGTGTCGGCTGATGTGGCTGCGCGAGTGCACGCTGTGCTGTAGGCAATGACATCAGCAGCAACGCGATTCCGATATATTCGGGCTCAGAAAGGTACAGGAGTGCATATATAGAACAAAAGCACAAAATAGAAGACCGTGTGATTTGAAATACATATTATGTCTAACCCGTGGGTGGTAGCCTTAAGAACGCTGATTTCAGGTTGTGACTTAATACACCCTCGCCCCTCCTCAAGAGTAGAACAGCTGGGTCTGGAATAGGCTGTGGACCGTGGACAACCGCCGCTGGGGAAAATGGTGCGGCATGAAAACGGTGTCGGCAGTGTTCGTAGCAGCAGCAGCAGTCGTGGTAGGAAATAATGGAAGTATGGCAGCAGCAGCAGCAGCAGTGGTGCGGTGACAGGGCAGCATAGTAGCAGTGAGTAGTCGTCGTCGTCGTCGACGTTGTCGTACATAGTGGTTAGCAGGCACCGTCTTCGTCGTCGCTAGTCGTGGTCATGGTGGTAGGACGAAGAGCAGGAGCAGGCGCAGCAATACTAGCAAATTCGGCATCGAAGGACGGATTGGAAGGTTGTAGTCCTGCCAAGTGGAGTGAAGTCGACTTGCGCATACAGCGGTAATGAGCCAGCAAGAAGTGATCAAAAAATCTGATCCGCGAGAAACACTGGCAGGGTTATGATGTGGTTCATAATCATCGGCAAAATTGCGCCATTATATGCACATTGCTTGCCGAAGCTCTGCAAAAGTGCCCCAACCACGTCCACGGAAGCCCTCTTCCTCAAGAGCGGCTGCTCCATTTGCTTGTTGCCTCGGCGCCCATGCGCTGCAAATACACTTCTACTACGGCGTGCTGGCGCCGCGCAGAGAACTGAGCAGGGAACTCATCCTTCCCACACGAGGTCGCTGGAAAACGAGCCCCTCACATCGCTGACTCCACTTCGAGCACAACATCCGCGGCGGAAGCTTGCAACACTCTTGCAGCCACCATGGTCCGAAGAGAGGCGGTATCTGAAATAGAATTGCCACGACAGCTGGGAACTCACACAGAGAAAGCGAGGAGCGGCATGACAGGATGGAGTGCATGCTCTTTTGCTTCGAGAGCAGGTCGACAGTCCGACTGCCTGCTGCACATTATCACTGCACGTGCGACCAGTGGCACTTTTGGCCGGGGCCCGGCAAATAAGAGGTAGTTAACAGAGTGGCCCGTGCTTCAAGCAGAGCAAACACCCGTCAGCGCACCCACAAGGGTCGCTCTGCCTTCGCCAGCTTATGCAGCCGGGCAATGATGGACTTCGCAGGCTCCGCGACGGCCGCATCAGAGTGCTTTGCGCACATCCCGACTTCTTTGCCAATTTTGGTTTCAGACGCCACCTCCCAGGTCAGCGGTAGTGAGTCCAGCTCCTGTAGAAGCAGCTTCAGGCCTGCCAAATCATTTGCCTCAAAGCTGTCAATGAGATCTTGCTTCAGGGCCTTCATGGCCTCCAATGTGCTCACCGACTTGGTCTCATTGTCCTTCTGAGTTATGAGGGCGACTTGGTCCTTCAACTCCGTATTCTGAGGGTCAAGGGCAGTGGCCTCCTTCAGCACAGATAAAGCTTCGGTTGACTTCCCGCTCTCTAAGAGCCGCCAGGCCAGGGTAGATCTGCTCTTGACCTCGCAGTCGAACCCTTGCATATTACGTTGGATGAGCCACTACTGGTGATAATATTGCTCTCTAGCCATGGTTGAATCGACAAGCTAGTTTGAACACAAGTGCAAGTAGCAAGTAATACTTGCACTTGTATATAATAATGCATATCATGGCCTGCAGTAGGTGCGCCTTTTGCAAGACTTGTGCCGAAGGAGCCATCCGAAATCGTCCTGGGCTTACTACGCCTGTAGAGATGGTTAGCAGTGGGCCCGAGAACAGCGACACAAAGAACCCTAACGGCCCTGTGGGCCTGCCTCGACCTCCGCCGGAATGCTGGAGATTCCACACGCCTCAAGGGGCTGAGGCTCTAGAATGCCCCTGAGTCGGCTACTCCTCCTCGTCCTCTACACTTCCACCATCAATGCCATGATCACTTCTCTGACTACGACGAACAGTGGATCGTAACATCAGGACATCCTGACAATCTCCCTCAATGTGACCAAGATGAACCTAGACCTCGACGTTTCAAGGCTTTAGTCGGACTGCCTAAGACCCCAGACGTGTTGGGGGTTCGGTGATCGTTGAAAAGGCCTGGACCGCGCAATGAGCGTGCTGTCGAGAAAGCTCACCGCCGAGGAGTGCAGCTGCAGCAGCATGCGCCCGCGCAAACTCACAGAGCTCGCCATCGTGGAGCCTAGGTACTTAGTACTCTAGAGTTTCAAACTGGTCATGAGGCTGATTAATGTCAGACTTTGCTATTCGGACAAGTATCATTGCACTAGACACGACACCTTCTATTGTAGAAAACCCCTCTAGACATGCTTTATGAGGTTCGACTTTAAGCTTACCATGTGGGCGGCTGACTTTGTGCGTTTGACCTATACTTACCATCACGACACGATGCAAGGCGATCGAGACAAGCGTAATTCTCGGGCCTCGGGCGCCAGCGCGCCCCGCACGGCTCACGATCTATCATCATAGTCATCTACTTGCATAATACATACGCCGGCTGTATTCATACACCAATGGATAACTGCAGAAGTATAAGAACACATGACGGGGAAGGGGGAAAGGTGATCAGGCCCTTCCTTCTGTAGAGATATAACTTGATATAACACAAAATAAGTAAGTACTCCGAGGAGCTGTTTCAGGAGGCTGTCCTCAAAGTCCAGCAGCTGGGGGATCTTCTCTTGGGGCCTCCTCTTGGGATCAAAGGCAAACTGCTTCTCCGGCTCCTGGGGTCACTGTCAGACAGGAGGAAAAAAAAGGGCAGCTGTTGGGTTTTTGGTAACAGGGGCTTGTTTTTGTTTATATTGAATTATGGGTTTCCTTTCGATGAGTTGGGAAAGCTATATAAATCCGAGCAAACAGGTCCCAAGCATTGACCCGGGCTCGTCATCCCACTGCAGGTCGTACATGCTGTCTCCAGCTTTACCCCCTTGAGTCTTCCAGCGTCGGCTTGCAAAGATTTCCTCGAACCAGACAAGGATACGCCTCCACCTCTTAAGGGCTAAGAGCTTGTGGCGGCCATTCTCCATGGACTCTAGGGCTTCTGCCCGGCTTCGCTCTGCCTGGATGCTCTCCAGGCCCTTCCAAGCGCGATCTGTGGGGCCTTGGCAGGCCAAAACCACCTTCTCCACCTCGATGCGGATGGAGACCGGGCCGCTGGTGTCGGGCAAGCCCGTGTACTTCCCGTCGCTGTAGGCGCTATGGATGTCCTTCTCCATGTCCCTGATGGGGACACCCTCCCTGAGAATCACCTCGAAGTGCATCCCTTCGGTGACACCTTGAGGTGGCAGCTTCAGGCACTCACCGACGCAAGGAGGCACAAACTCGCCCTCCGCAGCTGCAGCCTCTTCTCCGACGATGAACTCCATGGGCTCCTTCATACGATCTGCACGTAAGACCAAGCCGTCAGGTCCGTTGGCAAGGCCCAACCGGGTGTCTTTCAGAGCGTAGTTCATCAAGAGCTTCGCGACTCGGAAGTGTGCCTGGACGGTGCAAAGCTCAGAAACCACCGGGGCATTTTGGCTCTGCTTGCCTTCTTTGATGACATTGAGGAGGCGCCGGCCATCCCCATCTAGGTCTGTGAACTCTGACGACTCCAAGAGCTCCATCTCCATCATCAGAGTACTGTTCGGCTCCTTCTCCTCCTCCATGCAGAACTCCTCAGGTAGGCCGAGGATCTGAATCGCCTGGCGGCGAAGGGCGGTGGGCTTGATCTCCTCCATGTTCTTGTAGAGCTCACGCTGCTCCGGCGTGTCGGGCAGCCACTTGTCAAGACAACTTCGAATTGCAGCTTCCACGGATGGACCCAGTGCAGACCGTGACACCTCGAACTTCCCAAGCTCAAAGAGTTGCAAAGTCTTGCCAGCACTGTTCCAAGCCTGAAACACGGACTTCGAGGCATCGTCCATGACCCAGCGTGCCGGCTCTGCCGGTCGCTCTGCAGCCTTTGGCTGTGCTGCCATTTGGGGCCCGGGCTCGGCAGAGAGGCTCCCCGGAGGCTTGCGGGTGTTCAGAAGCTCCTTGCCGGCTTGGGTTTTCATGACCACATGGGCGGTGACGACACCGGCGACGCCACTCCGCTCTTGGAGCCAAGACCGCTTAATCCACGAGGCGAAGAGGGGGGCGTTCTCATTGGAGTGAAGCTTTCGAACACCGCCATCCTCGGTGATTGGCACGGTGTCGTCGAGGCGCTCTCCTCTCAAGAAGCCACGCATCTTGTCTGCCTGATCCTTCTCAGCGGTGCGGTTGGCCTTGAGCTGCCTCAAGATCTCGGCGAGCTTCTGGCGGGCATCCGCGTTCTCGGGCTCCAACTCTACCACCGCCTCCAAGTCTTCTCGGGCCTCTCGGAGCTTTCCCTGGCCGATGCGGGCCACCCCACGCCGGTAGATGGCCTTGGTGTTCTTGGAGTTCCTCTGAAGGATCTCCGTAGTGGTGTCCACAGCGCGGGCCCACTCACGCCTTTTCAAGTCACAGAGGGCCATGTTGTTCTTGATGCCTTCCCAAACCTCATCAGACTTTGTAAGGTGTAAGCAGCATCGTTCTAGCATCTCCAAGCTCCCGGAGTAGAGACACTTTGCACTGAAGTAGTCGCCTCCCCGGTACTTCTCATTGGCCTGTTCCTTCATCTTCAAAACTTCCACCAGCCGGTCTCTGTCAAACCCCGGTGGGATGTCCAACGCATCCGCGCCTTGCTTCTGTGCATTTTCCTGTGCCGGCTGGTCCCTCGCCATCAAAATTCGGCAACACTAAACTTAAAATCATGCAAGGCGGACTGCTTGGGCCAAGCTCCAGAGAGGTGACTAATTTCGAAGCTCCCGCAACTCACCTCGACGATACATGACATCCTGTACAGAAAAAGTCTCCCCTGCCAATGCAACAGCTCGCTGCCCGCCACCTCCAATTTAGGTTGTGGAGCGCCGCGCTGGCAATGTCATCCAGTGATACCTCAGCCATCAACTGCAAGCCGGTGTCAACGTTCATTGGCATCATACAAGATGTTGAGCAAGGATTACTCGATAGCAACACAAAACCTAAGGAACACTCCTCATACGGAACCATCTGGAACCTAAACTTGAAGCAAAGAGGGGACCTTTCCTAAGTCAGGGGGTGGGGCAGAGAGGGTCAGCCGAGCTGCTCGATTCCAGCAGCCGGAGTCAGCAGACAGTCGAACAGCCTCAGGATCCCCCCCCAACAAAAGTCCAACACCCACGAGGGCGATCCCTTAATTTCAAGAACGCTGCCGACACGCGTACGATGATCGTCAGGCAGCAGATCCGCAAATGTATATACTTGACTATTCCCTGTACGTTTACGCCATTTACTGTTGCCAGTGTATGACGGTTATTGAGAATTATCGTAATTAAAACTATATCACTATGACAAGTAGCACCGACATCATTCTCATCACCACACCTATTGACATTCTGATTCTAATAACTAAATATGTTTAAGGATCCTTGCCCAGCTCAGCCGGCGACTTCCTGCTCAAACTCGGCTTGCCGAACCTTGGCTAAACTGAGTGGCTACCCCAGGCTTTGATGGTCTGACTCCAGAGTACCGGCATAAAGACGGAAGCACGGCGAGGCGGTGGGTGGTGAGTTCTGCTGATAAACTCTGCTTGGCGTTCTGCGTGCGACCAAAGGACTGGCAAGGACTTGCGCCGTTTCGAATCCAGCACGATGGAGCTCCATGCCTCGCAGAATGCATGCATCCAGCGAGATGCTGACACAGTGGTTGATGCAACGGTGCGCCACTAACTGTTGCCAACCAGTGGACTGCCGACTGATACAACACGCTGTGCTTCTCACTTTCTGATTATCCTGCTGGGGTGCTTGCTATAAGAAACTTACAAGGTTCTAGCAAGTGGCCCACCAGGCAAGGTCCAGGAAGACCTCCCGCCAGCAGTGTTGGAAGGGCTCCGCAATAAGCGACAGCCTCAGCGCGTGCTTTGGCTGTTGTGTATGTGTGAAGTAAAAGGGAATTGCAGCTGCAAAGCTGTCAACATTTGATGCACAGCATATATCTCCCTGATGCGATGCATTGCAGTTCACCTGCGGCAACAACGCCCAGAAAGCCCTAAAATCTATGTGAGTTTCGATGCAGCACAGTTCCGTCTTGGGCAAGCATGTCCACACGTGCGGGTGAGGCTCACGAGCAATGCCCGGCAACGGGCCACATGCTCATGCTTCTGCCGCTGGCACACCTGCCAGTGCATGATGCTACTCCTAAGGATTATGAGCTACTATGAAACCCTAAACCCTAAACCCTAAACTAAGCTACTATAAACCAGTGACTATCCATGTTACTGCAATCTATATCCCACAAGGCAGAAGCCGGGCCTTCCATTCTTCTTGCCACTCTTGCAGGGGCGTCGCATCTCCCCTCTCAGAAGTTGCGGGGAAGATCCAAGACCTCCAGTAGACAGATCATCAAGAGGGAGCAATGGCGGGACGCCGTCTTCCTACTTGTTGAAGGGCTGTTCACACAAAACCAACCCCACAATTGCATCAACACCGAAGAATTCCCGTAGGAGCTAGAATGCCGAGCGAGCCCTGCAAGACTTAGCGACAGAGCTTTTGCCGAGCCAGCGGCACAAGGCCCTCCAAAGAGACGTGCCCGCTCTGGTCACGGGGTATGACGTCGAGCAGGAGATCGATGTCCTTGTTTACATATATAGCTTTATCGAAAGGCGTATATAGTACAGGCTTCATGGGTTTCGGCTTGCAAACGCTCACGCAGGCACTGCTTCAGACAGTGGCTTAAGGGTTCAGTCCAGGCTGTAAGGGCTTGTTGTGTTTTTCAAGGTTCCATAATTCCAAAAGCCTGATTCAACCAATTCTCGATGACACGGCAAGAGAGCATTTTGCTTTTCCGGGCTAAAATGCCGTCGGAACCACTCCCTTGCGCTGCTGCGTCCTGGGAAAACTCTTTGAAACCGAGACAGGCTGTATCAATCTTTCGTGTGATAGCCCCTCATCAACAAAGTCCCAAATCACCTCATATTCATCTTATCGGGAGGCCGGTGGTCATATCAATGTTCATTGCCTCTCCACGGACGAACTTGGCAATGTTGTCACCGCAGCCATCGACAACTCGCTGACGAGCCTCTACACGCTGCCATCCGATGTGCGGCGTGAGGATCACATTCTCAAACTCATCGAAAACATCATAAAGAGGGCTGTCTTCTGGGAGCGGTGGCGGGGGAGCGGAGCCTTCACCGAAGACGTCAAGGGCGGCACCCGCGATCTTCTTCTTGCGCAGGGCATCGATAATCGCCTCCTGGTCCACGATGGGGCCACGCGCCGTGTTGATGACGTAGGCGGTCGGCTTCATCTTGTCGAAGCAGTCTGCATTCAGAAGTCCCTTGGTGTGCTTGTTGAGCGGCACCATGGGGCTGATGAAATCCGACTGCTTTAGGAGGTCATCAAAGCTCACCACCTCCACACCGCTGTCACGCATGCCCAATGGTGTGGACGGCATGTCTGAGACGATGACCTTCATGCCGAGGTTGAGCGCCTTCTTGGAGATGTTGGAAGCGATGTAGCCTAAACCGCCAATGATTCCGTAGGTCTTGCCGCGGATCTCGAAGTGGTCCAAGTGCCCCAGGTGGCACTGCTGCATGTAGCGCCGGTCGCCTTTTGCCAAGGCCTTCATCTGCGGAGCCAAGCTGCAGGACAAAGCCATGACCAACGTGATAGCATAGTCTCCCATGGCCTCCGTGGTGTACTCGGGCACGTTACAAATGGCGATGCCCTTCTCGCGGCAGGCGTCCAGGTCGATGTTGTTGTAGCCTGTTCCGGCCTCTGCAATCAGCTTCACAGAGGGAGGCAGGGCCCTGATGATGTCACCTGGGATGGGGAACTCCTTGTTCATCACGATGTCCATGTTCTGCGCGCGTGGCACGATCTCCTCGGTGGCAGAGATGTCGTAGCTGGTGAACTCCGTGACATCGGTGACCTTCTTCCAATCCATGCGGCCATCGAAGTCCAAGCGCGCGGCATTCAGCATGACGCACTTTGGCTTCGAGGCAAAGCTGCGGTAACTCAGCCGCGAGGAGCTTAGGGAGCTGCGCAGCACCCGGGAGAACATGGCGGAGGAGTGGTCTTCGAGGAAAGGCGCGACCCTTTCAGCCTGAGAAAAAATCTTGAGCAATGGCCCGTCTATATCATACACCATTTTCATGAACACGGGAATCGAAGTCGTCCCTGGACACATGCTTGAAGCCGCGCCATAGTGCAAACCTCGGGCCCTGGCGCTCTCCTGGACAAAAGGCAGCGCCTCGGCAGGGCAACGCAGTGCCCACGATGCTGTCCGTACTGCACAATGCCTCCATCCTGTTTTCGGTTCTGCCGAGCTGCCCTTTGCAGCAGTAGGGTCAGGGACGAATCTGAGAAGTTCGACGGAATCGCGTAGCCACCTTGGAGGAGCTAATGATCTGTGATCCCTTTGCAGAAATATGGCCACTGCGAATCTCAGGCCTCGGCTCCTCCAAACAGAGAAGCAGCTCACTCCCTCAGCAAAGGCTGGCAGGACAGGCTCTGGCGTTGTGGGAGGTCATGTGAGGTGGTGACCATGGCTCCGTGTGCTTCGTGCAGCACCTGACAAGGCATGTCTCGCGTCGGCCGCACATGAACAAGCTCTGCGACTCACGGGAATCCCTTGGGTTTAATGCAGACATTCGGGAACGAAGGACTGCCAAACCAGCAGAAACAACAACAACCACAACAACA